CCTAACACTGGTATCAGAGTCTCTTATATTGCTAGAAAATATGTGATTTCATGATTACTGTTTTCAGTTTTAATTTGATTGATTTGGATTTGGATTAATTGGATTAAAATGGATATTTTTGCGTTGATAGGATTATTGAAATATGTTGTAATTGGACGGATTTTTGTTGAAATTGGTGTGGATTTGAAACCCTAGATGCACCACCGTGTGTGGTGGTACGCCGTGACCCAAAGTAGTAGCAACGCGCACCCGAGTTGTTGTTGCCCTTGGTGCAAAGTAGCACGCACGCACGATGTTGTTGTGTGCTTTGCACATGATATCCACCTGCTGCCAAGCGTGGAGAAGGAGATGGCCACGTGTTGAAACATGCAGCCTTGGTCAACACCCATCAGGGTGTTCAGGGGTTGTGTGCCACTGTCCCTAATAGCCTCGGTTGAAAAATGCAGGCCTATTGTCACTTTCACTGTAATGTCGTTGTGTACAGTGGCTGCCTTGGGCCGATCGTTGTCACAAACAGCCTAGCTTTGTTGGCTATGTGTTTACCCATGTAGCCTTGACCATCACTTTGAGTTTTCGCACAAGTGATTGACACGTTGTGCGTTTTTACACAAATTGTCCTATTTTGGGCAACTTGTGATTTTCCTCTGGAGAAATCACTCTCATTTACACTACAAGGCTTATTTTTGAGCAATTCAAAATCTCACATGTCACTACATGTGTGAGGATCGCTTCAATGGGTTTACATTAGTTTTTGGACTTCTGTAACATGGGGTTTCATTCTATTTACAATCAGTTGACGCCGGTACACTTTAATTCGATGTAGGTTCGTAAATAGATCATAAAATATTTAATATTGAGTCAATTGACTCACAGTTTGCACCAGTAGATTCCTGACATGTTGGCGCACATTTAGTAAGTCTTTAACGCTACTGCCCATATGTGTCAACACGCATAAAACTGCTATTTCAGGCAGCTTACACGTTGGTGTAGTAGGCTTCATTTTGGGCTGCTTTTGGCGTTGTTGTACATTGATGTTGCATATTATAATCATTTAGGAGACCCAACAGCAAGGGACTAAATTGAAAGGTTTACAAACATAGGAAATTGCTTGAAATACATTAGGCAGCCAGATGTAAGGGTCTGTGGACTATTTTAACATAAAACACATGTTTTGCAATTTTGGCTTCAAAATCAATTCTAAAATAATTCTTTAAACACTTTAAAACATGCCCAAGACATGTAAGGGTTTTTAGAACAGAAAATACTTTCCCAAGAAGCAATTAAACACACACAAAGAGTTAGAGCTGGCGGTAAAAAAGCACAGCACAGCAAGACCCACGATCATGCGAGCCGTGTCATGGGCCTTAAAAAAGGCACGCAGGCAGGCATGGCACAACCCGCTAAAAAAATTAAAAAAATAGCTGTTAATAACGGCTATTTCTCATTTTTTTAAAAAAAATAATTATTTTTTCCTATAAATACCCCATTATTTCTCTTATTTTTTGACACTTCGATTCCAATCTTCATTCTCCTTTCTCTCTCATTTGTATTTGTATTAATTAAAAATATATATAATCACTATGAAATATAATAAAATAATGAGACATTGAAATATTAATTGAATTTCAACACTTTTTATTACTTATAATTATAAATTAGAAATACAAACTTAGAGATTAGGATTAAGAATTAACATTAACAATTACATCTCTATTAGAAATACAAGTATACAAATACAATAGAATTGTAAACCTCGTACCCCTTTGTGTTCATGTATGTTGTATATATGTATGCCTTGGTATGACTTTTGTATGTTTTCTCATTTTTTATTTTTTTTATGTTGGATGAATGAAAAGATTTTGTTGGTTGGTTGTAAGAGTGGCTTTTTGTAGTTAGTTTATTACTGAAGTGTGTTGGATTTGAAATTTGTATTAGAAGTCATACTGGTTATGGGTTTATTAATTGTATATCATGCATATGCATAAAATGTGTTGAATGGAGTTGGGGTGGAATATTATTTTTGTTGTGATTTCCTGAATTGAGTTGATAAAGAGAAATCCAATCAATTTGGTGGGACTGGTTTGTCTGATTGATAAATGGAAGTGTTTTGGTTAACTCGAGGTGTGAAATGGTTTATGTGGAATGTTCACTCTTGACTTGTTTTTGCAATTGTGAAAGTGTAGAAAAATTAAATCACTTGGGTTATAAAGTTAATGTTTGGTATATTGTGTGATATTTGGTGGTTGGTTTGGAAAGGGATGACTTTTCCATGTTGGTAATTTGAGTTGAGTTGAAATGTTGTTGGGAATGGGTGAAAAAAGGGGGTGAACTACAAGTTTTTATAAGTTTTTTGGGGTCCAAGTGAAAAGATTTAATACTTCTGGACTATACTAAAATTTTACAAATTTTAGCTGAAGACATTTTTTGCTGGGGTAGTGAACATTCTGGAATTTGGACTAAATTATAAGTTTTGAAAGTTTCTTTGTTATTTTGGGGGTGTAAGTGCACATATTCAATCTCTTGGGACTTATATTAACAATAATTTAGGGGTCTTTTGTGATAAAAATACTTATGTGTTAGGAGACTTTTGGAAAATAACACAAAAATTCAGGGGGAAATTGATATTTTCCACTCACCCAACTTAAATCCAGTTTTAGTCTATTGGAAGGAGGGAGAAGAGAAGAAAAAGAGAGAGAAAGGAGAAAGAAAAAGGAAGAAAAGGGAGAAAATGGTGGTTAGGGAATCGATTTTTGGGCGTGCATTATCCGTGGGAGAATGAGAACCAAGTTTTTTGAGGACTTTCATTATTTGGGACAAGCTTCACGGGAGTGAGTGGAAAATCCGAAACCTTGACTTTTATTTTAAGCAAAAATTATATAAATGATTTACTCTAGTATTATTAAATGTTTTAATTGCTTAAATCTTTTGATTTTTGTTATGCAAATGTGTTTAATATAAAATTATCATTTAGATTTGAGAATTGATATGAGAATGATTGGGCTTCGATATGTTTTGGGTAAGAATTGTTGATAATACAAAATTTTGGCTAAATTGTTATTAAAACTTGTATTTTTAGCCTCATAATGTATGTTGTGATTTAATATGATGTTGTATGTTTCTCTATGAATGAAGGCACGAGATTTATGAAAAATTGTGAGTTGAAATAATATATATTGATAATAGTAGTTTCAACCACCATATATAGTACCCATTCCCCTTATGGTATTGATTTGATCTTACGCATGCGTGATTGGTTATTTGTCAGCCCAAGTGGGTCGGAGGCCTGAGTGAGGCATATATCTTTACACCGGATTGATTTTGCTGGTCCAAGTGGGTCGAAGGCCCGAGCGAGATAGATATCACTATACTGGATTGATTTTGCCGACCCAAGGGGGTTGAAGGCCTGAGCGAGGCAGATATTGTTAGACAGGATATGTTGTGCCGACCCAAGCGATGCATGGTCTTGTTGGGTCGAAGGCTTGAGCGGTGATTGATTCCGTGTAGCGGGATAGATTTAGCATTCAACCCACGTGATGTTAGACCTTGCCGGGTTAGATGGGTTTACTTCTGGATACTAGTTATGGTGAGGAATTTCACATGAAATTGGAAAATGTTTTATGTTTATATGAATTGTTTATGGAAGTGGAAATTTATAAATATAAATGTTTTGTTGTAAATTAAAATGTTTTCTCCTTTTTCCCCACTCACTAAGTATTTCCTATTTTTTTTTCTTATGTTCCTTCATCGTGCAAAAGAGTGATATTCGCTCGAGGTTGAGCCACATGACTCCATTTTTTCAAGTGTGTAATTGATGGATTTTACTTTTGCATCACAAAGACTTATGTTTTGCTCCATCATGTGCTATTTCATGTTTTATTTTGGATTTGTAAAAAGATATAAAACCTGATATCAAATATTCCTCTTATTTTTGCAAAAGAATTATTGATGTATGTACATATTGATGTAAAGAGGAAAATGTTTTGTGATAATACTTCAGGAAAACAAATTTTTAATAGTTTTACAGATATTAACATGGCGCGTCTCGGTCACCTGAGTCTCATGGGTGCGCCCGGAGCTCGTGGGATAGGGAGGGTCGAAACGGGTTATGTTAAGAACTATGTCAACTTTGATTATAGTTTACAAATATTCAAAGAAATAAATGAAAATGAAGATGTATGATATTTTTTTGATCAATCATTTAGTTTGAAATTGTTAATATTAATTCTTAATCCTAATTTCTAAATTTGTATTTGTAATTTATAATTATAACTCATAAGTAATAAAAAGTGTTGAAATTCAATTAATATTTCATTGTCTCATTATTTTATTATATTTCATAGTGATTATATATTTAGTTAATTAATACAAATACAAAATGCCACTAAATATAACATATAAAATATTTTTATAATAATTATTAATAAGAAATTAAAAATACCATAATTTTAAATATTAAATATTAAAAAAATTGTAGGCTGACCCAGATTTGACGGGCCGACCCAACATGACAAGGCATAAATTTTTACAGGGTTTAGCATGACACAACGTATTTTGAATTTTTAGGCACCACACGGTCGCACCAACGACTCTACAATGAGTTACCAAATATGAAACAAATAAAGATAATGGAAGATGTGTCTTAATGCTTCAGAATGTTATGCTTGGACAGATGTGATATGACATATTAATGATTCAAACAAAGAAAATAAGAGAAAAACATCCGTGTCTTAATGGGACTTGTTCCAGAGAGAGAAAGTAACAAAAACTCGCAGATTGGAGTGAGATAAAGCTGGTTTTATAAATAAATAAAATTTTGATTTTTGAAAAATTATTAAATAGTACAACAATGCTCATGATGCTTACTAAATGATTTTAGCAAGGGTTTAGCAATTATCTCGTTTGCTTATGGCTTGAGCTAGCCCTTAATTATCAAGTCAAAATTACATTTTTTATATCGTCCTGAAGGACCTAAACTACACACACGACACTTTGATTTGTAATTTATTATCCTAAACTAAACATGGTCGTGCGAATTATTTCTCTCTCCATTCATCGATTCTTCTTCCTCCCTTGATTCTTCCTTCACAACTTTTTTGTACACAAATCTCTTGGCAATCCATATAAAAATGCATAAATTCAAAGCACTCAATCCTGCCAATACCCAGTAAAAGTAATCAAGATGTGCCCTATTGATATTGTTACTAAGCCAAGTGCCACCAGCCCTTTTATTAGTTACCTCCACTATTGATATAATAATACTATTCAGAAAGCTTCCAACTCCAATTATAGAAATATAAGCCGCTGCCCCCATGCTTCTCATTTCTTCTGGCATTTGATCATAAAACAATTCTTGTAACCCCACCACTGTGAACACATCACAAAGTCCAGAGAGCACGTATTGTGGAAGTAACCACGCAATAGTTATAGGCAATGTTGCATTGAGTGTGTCCATGAGGCCATGTTCCCTAGCAGTTTTGATCCTTTTGGCCTCTACTAAAGCCGCTACAATCATGAAAATTATGGACAAAAATAAGCCTATGCCAATTCTTTGTAGCATGGTTATTCCTGAGGGGAGTCCGGTTTTTTTCCGGGCTAGGCGGACGAAGACTTGGTCATAAATTGGGACGAAGATAAGGATGGCTAGGCCTATGACACTTTGAAGTGCAGCTGGGGGGAGTTCAAAGTGTGGTCCGATGGATTTGATCATTGTGCTGCCTTGCTTGGTGAAAAAAGTACGATTTTGAGCTTGTACAGCGAAGAACATCAAGCAAGCTAGCCATATCGGGATGACGCGAATCACTAATTTTACTTGTTCCACTTGATTTTGGGTGCATAGCCTCCATGGATTCCTTTGCGCGCTCAAGCAATCTATCTCGTCTAGTATCATCGCCTTGTCCAAAAATCTGCAATTTTTGGAATCAAATTGAATCAATGAAATTTTCACAATGAAAGTTTTCATATATAATGAACTTTCTCTTCTCAAAATTATTATAAAGATTGTTTTATGTGGGCCTAACCCTCTTATCTCATATTGTCCAAAATGGGGTCAGGAAGAAGTAGAACACACAAAATAATCTGTCAATAGTTTAAAAAATCCTTGATGCTTTTCCAGAAAAAGTAGAAAAATTGATTCATTTGACTTAGCTAACATTATACTCCTGTGGATTTTTCTTATAGGGACAAAATCGCACAAAAATCCTTAGCTTTCACAAAATGAATTTAGTAGTCACATATTTAAGATAATATAAGTACTTTACATCTAGTTTAACGTTATCTCTAAACTAGATTATTGGATCTCTTAAATAGTTTTTGATTTTTGGATCCAATAGTCCTGTGGAAGGTAATAGGAAACAAAAGAATTCTTTGAATCTCATTAATATATAAAAATGAAAGAAAAAGGGTTTGACTCCTTGGAATATAGTTGACACTGACGCATAACATACCTGAGCTGTTTAGTTCGTGCAAGAGTTATTCTCCCAGATTGACCCAACTGGTTCTTCCCATTCATCCCGTCATCATCTTCATTACAAATACCGCGCGTCTCTCTCACGCGCCACTTCCGGACTGCCGCAATAAACACCTGCACCACCTTGGTAAACGGGCTCCCCACTGGAACCTCCTTCCTGTACCTCTTAATCCCCACCAAAAACATCCCCAATGCCGCCGCCAATATCCCCGCCAGTATCCCAAATCCTACTGCCCACCCCACATTCTCCTGCATCACAAAAACAAATAATTAATTATCCTCATTAATCGAGTTGACTTTTTTCTTTTTATATTCTCATATTCGTTCATTGTTTACCTGTATGTAAACAATGACCAAAATTGAAGTAGTGGCGCCAAAAACAATCCCCAAGTACCACCAGTTAAAGAATGAGCTTTTGGCCTCCTTCTCCTCAGGGGTGTTTTCATCAAACTGATCAGCGGCGAACGTTTGCACGCAGGGCTTGTGCCCGCCTTCACCAACTGATAATATATAAAGCGCTATGTAAAATACGATTTTTGAATGAACTACTGTCGACACAGCCAACGACAGTAAAATCATCCCCTGCACGTAAAAGAAAAAGATACATCACTATCTATCATTTGCTATGATAACGAGAAGCAGAGAATTGAGATGATTTTTTTTATGGCGAGGAACTCGCCAGTAAATAGATCATAGAGGAGGCGATGACGGTCTTGAAGCGACCGAAGTAAGAGTCGGCGAGGAAGCCTCCGATCAAAGGGAAGAGCGCGGAGACACCAACCCAAGTATTGACATTCTTGCTCGCGGTGACGGTTGATTCACCAAGAACGTTTGAGAGGTAAGTGACGAGATTACCAGCCAAACCATAGTAGGAAAACCGCTCCGCCATTTCAACAACTGCAAGAAGATATATTCGTTAAAATATGAAAGAAAGATATACGATCAAGATGATGAATGAAGAATTAATTAGCTTACAGATGATGAAAATGGCGGCACTCCAGCCACCCCTGGAGGGTTTTTCTTTAACCTTGGCATGTTCTTCATCGCCATTTTCAGGGCCATTTTCAGTGACTATATGTGGAGCTACTGAACTGTCCATTGAAGATTTGAGGAAATTGATTGAAGAAAATGAAAGTGAGTGATTTCAGCATCTTGGTCTAGCCCTTTTTATAGAGGAATATCCCCCAATGTTTAATTAAATAACATAGATCCTCTGCCGTTAGTTAACCATTAGTGTATCTTTAGAATTTATATTATGATGGGTTAATAAATATTTACCATCTTTTTATTGTTTATTTTAACATCAAAAACTTATTATAAGATATTTTTATTATTTTAATATATTTAAGGGAAACTATTGTTATTAATCTTATTAATTAGTAAAATCAAATGCTCTCTCAGTACTTAAAAAAAAAAAAAAGTTAATATACCAATATAGAAACTCTAATCTAATAAATGAGGTCTTGCTATTTATGTATTTATTTTCTTTTTATATCTACTACTCATCTAACAATTATTACAATTAATTTATATATATATATGAAGTCTTGCTATTTATGTATTTATTTTCTTTTTATATCTACTACTCATCTAACAATTATTACAATTAATATATATATATATATTCACATAGTTTATCTTGCTATTGGAAGAAAGTCTCTCATAATGAAATTAGATGGATTTTAACAATAATTTCATATATAATTAGGGTTGACAAATAGGTCTTGTGCTGTAACATTAATCATTAATGAAAGTATGTTTATAGATATCTTTTTTGTTTGACTTGGAGGAGTTTTAATTTATTAGTTAACTATGTAGAGGAAAACTGAAAAGCTGGCGAAAAGTGAAGGGTCATATTCTCTAAAGAATTTTAGCTGTTTAAGAAATTGTGTGAAGATCGTGTGCAAAAGCTCCATTTGGTAGAAAATGACAAAGAAAATGTTTTTTATTATTATTATTATTTTGCAATAAGTTTGTGAATATATTAATATGCATTACGTAATCATTCATAAAATTGATAAAATTATTTCCTGATTAAGCCAATAAAATGAGATAAACAAATTTTAATTATCTTAAATTATTTTTACTAGCTAAATAAAATTCAGGCGTTTAATATTAATTATGTGATTTCACATACGTTTTAACTTTCTCATTAGGGTTCATTAATAATTCATTATCGGTATCCAAATGAAATCAAATGGAGGCTATAATTAATTATCAGAATTTTTACAACAGTTGATCAGATGGTACTGTATTTTATTTTGCCCCACATACTTATTATTTTTAGAATAATAAAGTAATAAATATAGATCAAGATCTTCTCCTTTGACTTTCTGTTTCTTAAATTTTAAGCATTTTATGTCATGTAGCATTAAAGAGTTGGATGGACAAAATATAATTATTTAATTTTATTATTTGACACTCAATTAAAAATGAAAAATTTGACATGCCATATTACCTAATTACAAAGTGTCGGCCCACTCAATATCTTTAATTCCTTCTCTCTTATTGCACCACTGAATCCATAATTTGGGTTACAAGATATGACATCAAAGAATGAAAGCACTTTTTAATTGACTTTCTTTGTAGATTTTCACTTCCTACCTATCTATGGTAGAATATTTTGTATATATCTTCTTATATTATATTATAATTGTTGTATAATTTTTATATGAACAAGTTTTACACGGAACTACGTGGGAAAGTTATTTTATACTGAAAGATACTTGAAATTAGGTCANGAAGTCTTGCTATTTATGTATTTATTTTCTTTTTATATCTACTACTCATCTAACAATTATTACAATTAATATATATATATATATTCACATAGTTTATCTTGCTATTGGAAGAAAGTCTCTCATAATGAAATTAGATGGATTTTAACAATAATTTCATATATAATTAGGGTTGACAAATAGGTCTTGTGCTGTAACATTAATCATTAATGAAAGTATGTTTATAGATATCTTTTTTGTTTGACTTGGAGGAGTTTTAATTTATTAGTTAACTATGTAGAGGAAAACTGAAAAGCTGGCGAAAAGTGAAGGGTCATATTCTCTAAAGAATTTTAGCTGTTTAAGAAATTGTGTGAAGATCGTGTGCAAAAGCTCCATTTGGTAGAAAATGACAAAGAAAATGTTTTTTATTATTATTATTATTTTGCAATAAGTTTGTGAATATATTAATATGCATTACGTAATCATTCATAAAATTGATAAAATTATTTCCTGATTAAGCCAATAAAATGAGATAAACAAATTTTAATTATCTTAAATTATTTTTACTAGCTAAATAAAATTCAGGCGTTTAATATTAATTATGTGATTTCACATACGTTTTAACTTTCTCATTAGGGTTCATTAATAATTCATTATCGGTATCCAAATGAAATCAAATGGAGGCTATAATTAATTATCAGAATTTTTACAACAGTTGATCAGATGGTACTGTATTTTATTTTGCCCCACATACTTATTATTTTTAGAATAATAAAGTAATAAATATAGATCAAGATCTTCTCCTTTGACTTTCTGTTTCTTAAATTTTAAGCATTTTATGTCATGTAGCATTAAAGAGTTGGATGGACAAAATCTAATGATTTAATTTTATTATTTGACACTCAATTAAAAATGAAAAATTTGACATGCCATGTTACCTAATTACAAAGTGTCGGCCCACTCAATATCTTTAATTCCTTCTCTCTTATTGCACCACTGAATCCATAATTTGGGTTACAAGATATGACATCAAAGAATGAAAGCACTTTATAATTGACTTTCTTTGTAGATTTTCACTTCCTACCTATCTATGGTAGAATATTTTGTATATATCTTCTTATATTATATTATAATTGTTGTATATTTTTTATATGAACAAGTTTTACACGGAACTACGTGGGAAAGTTATTTTATACTGAAAGATACTTGAAATTAGGTCATGCTATTTTTAATACAAAATTTTGGCTTCTTCTTTAAGTCTATTGGTTTGCCTTAACTCAATACCAATTTTTTTTTTTTTTTTAATTTCTTTTTGTTAGCATTGTTATTAGATTGTCTAACTCTTTCTAAAACCAGAAAAATAAATTTGACAGTATAGCCATATAGCAGTTGTTTTAACCCATTTATTTTTCTTTGTCTAACACACTAATTAAACTGAAAAATATGTTGGTTTGGATTCATTTATATAAAAAATGATGCTAAGACAACGTCTGTAAATAAAGAGTAATACTACTCATATAAAGAGTAATACTACTCATATAAAGTATTATTTATAAATAAAATCCTTATTTAAAAAAGTATTATAATGAATTAATTATATATTTAGACAATTGTTGATTAACCATAATAAATAATATCTTTTAACTTCAATCCCTAAACCCTAAACCTCAATTTTAATAAAAAGAAATACAAAATCAAGTAACAAATTCTTTTTCTATCTTAATATAGTTTGTTATCTAACTCAACCAAAAATGTTATTAAACAGCAACCAAGCGCGGCAAATCCCTGAACTGTGGATATTTTCTTCCAATATAATGATATCCTTGTCACAATCCATTAAAGACTTTACTCATCTTTTATAAAAATGAATAAAAAAATAAACAGTATTTATTTATTATTTAATCACATTCTGTAAACGAAATCTCCCTATTTGTTAGTGTAAAGTTAGTGCTTGAAAATTTTACAACTCAAAAGCGTAGCATTGGATGAAACTTATATTTACCCTTTTAATTTATTTTCTTCTTCTTCTTCTTTCCACTATTTCAACTACAAAAAGTTGTTTTTTATTATGCCATCTAATCCAACCCACTAATATTTTTGGTCATCCATCAATATTGTTAGTGGCATAAAAGCTTAGCAACAAACATTCCCCCTCTCATCACAATTTGTACTAGCAATGTCAAAAAGTGCTTTTGAAAATTTTGTAACAACTGAAAAGAAAAGGAAAATAAGAAGAAGATTATTGCATAATATCAGCATGATAGAAGCCCTTTACTTGTCGTAGAAGAGTGGTATTAGAGTTGAAATTTTTTCCAACTTTGTTGAAGAAGAGAAATTCAAGGATGCCTAAAATCACCACATAGTCGGAGATTTTGTCTGGTTGAAAGTGGATATATGAGGTTTTATTTTTAGAAAGAGTACCCGATGGAGAGATTTCTATACCTACTTATATTATCACCTTGAAAATAATATAAATTAATATTTAAAAAATCGATCATATTACATTTACAAAGTTAAAACTATAGATAATCGCATAAATGATAGGATGTTTGTATCTAATAATGTAATTGATTAAAATAACTATCACCCGAAATTTAAAACCTTTAAAAAATTTCAATTAAAGAATAGTGATCTTTTTAATCACTACAAATTTTCACAGCTAGGTTTGATTGAAAGAAAAAGTAGCTACATCAATTTATGTGATTTAATTATTGGTTTAAGGTTGATAAATACTTATGGGTTTGATTAAAAGGATAACATCCCTGATAACATGATAATTCTCTTTTCTTAACTGTTGATAACCATGAATTCAGGGGGTAGAAAATTTATTCTGAGGGGTCAACATATAATGCTCAATGAATGAAAGAGACAGAGAGAAATTAGGAAGTTATAGTTATGAGGGCCAAAGTGTGAAGTTCAGAAACTGAGGATACCAAAGAAACTTAATACCGGAGGACAAAAATGATAATTTTCTATATAAAATTTAAAAAAAAAAAAAAAAAAAATTTGTGGCACCTGGGGTGTGCATGCCTCTGTGTAGCTCCACAACCCTTGAAGATTATTATCATGGTTCGGGTTAGTATCTATTTAAACATATAGATTATATGATATATTTTTTATATTTAAATATTCTCTAGACGAATATGCAATTTTATGAGTTCTTAAAAAAAATTATATGACATTTATTAAACTTTCTATAATACCAATCCAGCCTAATTAGTAACTTATATTTGAATCCTCTTTATCTTATATGATTATGAGTCAGTTGTCATCATCAAAATTAATAAATATATATAATCATCGTGGATTATTTGTCAAAACTGAAATTAATTATCTTATAATGAACAATGATACCATCGTGGATTATTTGTCAAAGCACTCAGCCTTGGTCTTAAT